ATCCATATCAGTTTTCCTTGGTCTGATTAGTTTGGCCAATGTGTCAAGAAATTAGGATTGTTTGTGATGTCCATGGGACATATAAAGATAGGAGCAAAAATGACTATATTATTTCACCAAGGAAGTTTTCTGTCTTATCTAGCCATTTATATAATTTCATAGTTGAGAAGAACCTTTTTTGAGAATGGACAGGACTGATATAAATAGACATTAGGATTAATTTTGTGAAGAAATATCAGCAAAATGATCTTTGTTCTTAATGACACAAAATGGCACCGGCAATTTCCATCCTTATTGGTCCCATGTAACTTATGAAAGATTAAAAGGTAAAAATGATTTTATTAACAAAGGGCTTTGAAGGCTAACATTGTTTTGGGGGTAACTTGTTAACTGCTTTTTTATGCAGTAAATAGAAGGTAGGTTGACTTGAGTGATAAATAGATTTCCCCTTTGGCGACATCTTTCTGTTCAACATAGTATTGTTATTAAATATAAGACAGAAAAGTTTGTAATTACTTGCAGACCTGTTATGTACGGGCATGGGGAGGTGAGAGAATGTGCCAGATATTTCAGATAATTTTTTAATTTTGATTATATATTTGCCATTTGTCATTTTTTATTGCTATTGTTTGGCCACGCTGTTTACAATTGATGCTGGTTTCCTTCTCCTCCTCCTCCTCTTAAGATGGGTGGCCGAACACCTCTTTTAATAAATAAAATAAAATATAAAATAAAAAAACAAAATAATGAAAGATCAAAACGATAAAAATAATAAATACAATAATAAAATAAAATAAAATAAATAATCGAATCAAATCAGTAAATAAATCATGGATTTGGATATACATCGTGTACAAAATCTTGCCCCTGGGGGGAAGAAATGCCCAAACATGCAATGAACACCTCTTGTGGGATGTGTTTTGCATATGGTAAGTCTGTAGTTTTCCTGAAGGCGCATCCCTGCTCAGTTATACACCTGCGCTAAACCTTTGCCTGCAGGAATTCAGAGTATTGGACTAGCTTTTATTTTCACTCACACAGTATTTGACTAGCCTTTTATTTTTAACCAGAAAGACACAAAATGGGCTATGTCGCTACGCTTGTTGGTTTGTGGCTCTGTGCATGTTGGTGTATGATCTCCAGGTTAAACTTTGCAAAAACAGGTGTCTTTTAACCTTCAGGCAGGCAAGCTGTAGCTTACAAAGTTTCTACGCCTGCATTTGAGGTGCTGATTTTAAAATAAGACCTTATTTGGGTTTTCTCTATTGCTGAGGTTTGCTGTTTGATAGAGAGGCGAGCCCTAGATTACCAGAGATCCATGGAATCAAGTGTAGGGTGACATTAATCATTCATGTTAGGACTGTTAAGCAACCTTCTCCGTGACATCAGGTAACCATCATATTTGGTAGGGAAGAATCCACGACCTGTAGACATCTTCCCTGGTGGCATTAGGTAACATCTAATATTCAGCAGAATTCCCAAGATCCTTTGAAACTCTAGATGTTTTATAATTTTTCAAAAAATCTCATGGCAGTAACTATTCTTGAAGAATATTATAGTAAAATAATATACTATACGTATATTATTTACCTCCAGTTACCACCACCCCCAACTTCAAGTCGGGATGTCTCCTATTATCTGATATCTCATGACCACACCGAGTGCAATGATTATTAAATGGGGCTAGAATTATTAAAATGCCAAAGTACGATTGAGGGATAGCTTGAACCGAAAGTCTAATACATATATTAAACTATAAAGCCATATTTTCTTGCTCTGTGGCTAACTGCTGCAATTTAGAGCTGAAAGTAGCTATTGCAGGGGGAACCAATTTGGCTGATAAGTTATTAGTTCATATTTTATCTCCCTGCATTCTTCTTTTATTGACTTTTGCTTCTAATAAAATAGGCCATTAACTGGGACAATGAATCGAGACCATTACAGAAATCATGAACGGTTTGACTGGTTCTCTTCCTCTCAAGGTTGCGTAGTGCTTCATTAGAGTTGGAATCTTATGGGTATTTAAAACATTGTTAGGATGGATATACGTGTGTGTGTGTGTGTGTGTGTGTGTGTGATAAATCATATACATATTTGGACTTTAAAATCTTGCGAATTCTTAGAACGTACTTGGCTGAAGTTGATTCCTTGACTTTATTATGCATTAAATCAGAGCCTTCTAAAATCCCTAAATACTTGTACTACTACAGAATACTGGTTTCATTGCCTTTATCATTTCTTCATTGTCAAGTTTTATTCCATCATCTTCTATGACCTAGCCTGCTTTTTTATTGCCATTGTTGCACATTTGTCTGTTCCAAAATGTATGCTGATGTCCTGGCTAAATTCTTTTGTGCTTTCAATTAGTTTCTTGAGTAATGTTTTCTTTGAGTAATGTCGCCTGTTTCACCCCAAAATTAAGAAACTATGCTGGAAAACTGGGTTAGGGTCTCTGATAGGACTGGATTTCCGGGTTTGGAGGTTTTGGGGGGTTACTTTTTGTGGGGGTCTTCTATTTAATAAAAACCTCTCTGAAACTGGTGGCAACAGATAGCAAACCAGAGATGTCAAAACATCAGGAGGCTGTGAATTCAATCCTAGGTAGAGGCTAATATTTGGAATAGAGTCTCCTGCTAAGCAGGGGGTTGAACTAGATGATCTCCAAGGTCCCTTCCAACTCTGTTACTCTGTGATAATCTCCTTGTGTTGGGGATTAAGCTTGAAAAAAACCCAGGATGAACTGGAAAAAAACAAACAAAAACCAAGGGAGATTCTGCGCCTTGGCATCCAGTCGTCACTTTGATGCCAGGGCAAATTTATCCCAGGATAAATGTGGGCTTCCCCCTAAATGAAAGTCCCCATGGTTTCATCCACTTCTCCCTCCCTCCCTCCCTCCCTCTCTTTCTCTCTCTTTCTTTCTTTCTCTCTCTCTTCTCTCTCTCTCTCTCTCTCTCTCTTTCTCTTCCTTTCTTTCTTTCTCTCTCTCTTTCTCTCGTCGCGCCTTTCTCTTTCATCCCCAATCGGCGCCGGGGAGAGGATTAAGGGATTCTCCTCCCGCACACCCCCCCCCCCCCGCCCCACTTTCTTCCAATTCGGTGCCAATTCTGAAACCAGGCGATCCACTCATCCGAACCGTTTCCTGGCGGGTCATCCGCTGGAAAAAAGGAAGGAAAAAAAAAAAAAAACCACCGCCAGCCCCGACCGCAGCCTGCCTGCCTGCCTGCCTGCTCGCCTTCTCCCTCCTTCTCCTCCGCGGCCCCGCGAAGCACCTGTTTCTGCAACTCAGCGCTGCCAATTGCTGGCTCGCTGGCGCTCTCGCTCTCTTTGGCCCGCAACAACAACAACAACAACAACAACAACAACAACAACAACAACAAAACCACCGTGGGCTTTGCGGAGAGATTTCGAGATGGGTCAGAACGAGGAAGAGAAGGGGGAAGAAAAGGAGGAGGAGGAAGAGGGGGAAGAGGAAGAGGAGAAGGAAGAGGAAAGCGAGGAGGGAGAGGAAGAGGAGGAAGACGGGGATGGGGAGGAGGAGGAGGAAGAAGAGGACGAAGAAGAGGAGGGGGACAACTGAAGAGTCCCTGGTGTTCTCTGAGCGGGGTGATTTTCTCGCAGACATTTCATTACCTAACTAGGTAACATCTTCAGTGCTAGAAGGGAGCGGGGTTTGCAGAAAAAGAGGAGGAGAAGGAAAGGAAGAGGCAGGAGGAGGAGGAGGAGGAGGAGGAGGAAAGAGAAGAGGGCTCAGCCGAGCGCTAAACCGCCCCAGCGCTCGCCCCGCGTCTGTTTGTCACCGTCTCCCCGACCTCGCCGCTCCGACCCCCGGGAGCAGAGGGCAGGAGGGAAGAGACTGCCCAATGAGCGGCCAAGGGAGGCTGCGGTCGCGGGTGGCAGTGGGCACAAGCCTCGGGACCCCCCGTCCCCCGTCCCAACAAACACGCCGGACCTCGGGCCCTACGGTTAAGCAGGCCAGGAGTCCCCCGAGAGCCGCCGAGCGCGCAGCAGAGACGCTGGCAAAAACACCGGTGGAGCCGGCCTGGAAGACGATTCGCGGCAGCCGCGGCGGCGGCGGCGGGGGGGGGGGGGGACGACACGGACGGACGACACACGCACATATATAAACACACACGCACACACACACGCACAGACACACACAAACACACGGCAGGAGTGAGTGACAGCCCGTGCGTCACGCCGTCCGCCAACCGGCAGACCCGCGCGGGGTTCTGAGCCCTCCCCCTCGCCTGCTGTGCGGCCCCCGCTTTGCCCCCCCTCCACTTTCTCTCTCTCTTCCCCCCTCCTCCCAGAGCCTCTCCAAGCCGCTTTTCCCCCGCCGCCCTTTCGCCTCCTCCTCCTCCTCCTCCTCCTCCGCCCCGCAGACTTTGAGGACGCACCTGCCGGAGCCCGGCCGGCCTTTCCCTGCTGCTTCTTCTTCTTTTTCTTCTTTTTCTTCTTCTTCCTCCTCCTTCTCCTCCTCCTCCTTCCCTCCCTCCGCTCGGGGCCACCTGCGAAAGACGGCGCGCGCGCGCGCGGGCGCGGGCGCGACTGCTTGAGGCGAGACCGACCCTCCCCGTCTGCTTCAGCCGCCGCCTCCCTGAGGGGAAAAAAAAGGCGAAGCGAGTCGAGGCGGAGCAGCCACCCGGAGGTGGGGTGGGTAGCTGGGTAGCCGGGGGGTGAGCGCCTCGGGGCGGGAGAAGCCCCCCCCCTCCACCCCCAACCCTCGAAGGCGGCTGAGGCGGACCGGCCCCCCTCGCCCCCCGACGGACTGAGGGACGGACTGACGAGGAGGCGTGAGGCGGGGGTTGAGGGGAGACACGGCAGAAGAGAGAGATGCGGGCCGGCTGAGGCGGCGGGCGCGCTTTTTCCTCCCCCCCCCTTTTTGGCCCCTCCCCGCTTTATTCGGGTGGGAGGGGCCGCGCGCGGGAGGGGAGGGAGGGGAGGGGTGGGGTGGGGGGGGGGCGAAAGGCAGGACGCTCCGGCGGCGGCGGCGGCAGCGGCAGCGGCGGCTGCGCTGGGTTGAGCGGCATCATGGCCGGGGATGGGCTTCGTAGCCGGGGCCGACGACGGCTCCGGCCCCGGCGAGAGCAGCTTCCCGGAGCGCCGGCGGCGCGCCCTGCTCGGTGCTGCTAGCCATGGCAAATGGCAGCGGCGGCGGCGGCGGCGGCGGAGGCGGCGGCGGCGGCGGTTCCAGCAGCAGCTACTACTCGGGCGGCGGAGGCGGCGGCGGCGGCGGCGGCAGCGGCAACATTAGGATGAGCAGCCCCGTCAGCGGCAGTCTGAACACGGCCTCGTCGTCGGCGCCCGCCCGGGCGCCCAACACTCTCATCATCCCCATCACCATGGAAGTGCCCTGCGACAGCGGGCAGCGCATGTGGTGGGCCTTCCTGGCTTCGTCCATGGTCACTTTCTTCGGGGGTCTCTTTATCATCCTGCTCTGGAGGACCCTCAAGTACCTGTGGACCGTCTGCTGCCACTGCGGGGGGAAGGAGAAGGTAAGCCGTCCCCCCTCCCCCTGTCCAGACCCCCTTCCCCCCCTCTCCTCCCCCGCCCCAGCGCAGCCCTTCCGAAACGGCGCCTCGAAACCCCAAGCGGACGAACCGGAGGGATATTTTGTAGCTTTGTAGAGTTTGGACAGGAGGGGCCCTTGGTGCTCTCTGAGATTGCTGGTTCTCTGGCAGACGTCTTGTGACCCAGCTAGGTAACCGCATCAGTGTTAAAAGGGAGTGAGAAGGGAGTGAGGTTTGCAGAGAGGAGGAGGAGGAGGAAGAGAAGAAGAAGGAGAAGGAGAAGGAGAAGGAGAAGGATTGTGGGGGACCTTGGTGCTGTCTGACCATAGTGATTCTCTGGCAGACGTCTCACGACCCAGCTAGGTAACCGCATCAGTGCCAGTGATGCCACTGACTAGTGCTGATGAATGTTACCTAGTTTGGGTAAGGAAACCTCTTGCAAGGAAACAAACAAGCTCTGACAGCGGGCCAAGGAGCCCTTTGTGGACAAACAGTTTGGAGAATAATTGTCTCCAAAGGTGCTTTTTCAAGAGGCAACTGGACTTTCTTGGTTTTTCTTTGAAGACGTTTCACTTCTCACCCAAGAAGCTTCTTCTGCTCTGACTGGATGGTGGGGAAATGGAAGGATTCTTCTTCAGTCAGAGCTGAGGAAGCTTCTTGGATGAGAAGCAAAATGTCTTCAAAAGAAAACCAAGGCAGTCCAGTTGCTTCTTGAAAAAAATGCACCTCTGGGAGAAACACAACCTGGAGGACTGAGAATCTCCACAGATGTATTGGAGAATAACCAGTCAGAGTTACTAATGGGCTTCTATCCATTAGCGAAACCAACTAATATGGGTAGTCCTTGATTTGCAACAGTTCATCGAGTGGCCAAAGTTACAGTGACACTGAATAAGGTGCCTTATCACCATTTTTCACACTTATGACCTTTGTAGCATCCTATGGTCATGTGGTCACAATTTGGACGCTTGGCAACTGATTCATATTTATGATGGTTGCGGTATCCTGGGGTGTGTGTGTGTGTCATCGCTTTTTGTGACCTTCTGACCTGCACAGTCAATGTGGCAGGCCAGAGTCACCTTGTTAACTCATTGAACAACTGCAGCGATTCACACAGTAACAACTGCAACAAGGAAGATCACAAAACGGGGCATAAAACTCCCTTAACAAATGTCTCCCCTAACAATTTTGGGCTCCATTGTGTTTGTAAGTCAAGGACTCACCTGTACGCTTACATTTTTCCATCCCATTTTACATGTTATAGAAAAATGGAAGAGCTTCTAAACATCTCAGAAGTAGATCATTTTTAGCACCCAGAGTCTTATTTAGTAAAAAACGTAATGTTGATACTTCAAAAGCGAAACAAATGTTACTGGTAATTGTTTGTTTTTTTAAAAATCACAATTGCTGTGTAAACCTTTAATTGCAACATGCTATCCAAGAAAGCAGGCAGAAGTTTTTGTAGGTTAAGATGCCTCGGTTCCTCGCTCCGCTTTCAGTGCCTTTATATTTCCTTCTGTTTTAGCTCAGGGCACCTTCCTCAAAGATCCTCTCCCCTCTTTTTTTTAAGGCTGAGTATTGCTCGCTCTGTCCGGTTGGGCTGAGTCCTTAATAAATCTGGGGGCTCGCTGGGTGGAGAAAAATGGGGCAGCCTTTGGAAGTGGGGTCACCAAACAGCGAGGATGAGCTTGCTTCCTTTTTGTCAGGCAGGTGAAAAACTTGGGAGATGTGAAATATATCCCAGATTGTCCCTTAGGATGGCGCTGAATGCTGTTCAACTTGCAAGGAAACACGAATAGAGGGGGGCAGTTGTGTAGCTGATCCTGAACATTGCTAATGTTTGCTGAGAAATAAGCTGGACTGTGTCAGAGACTTGGGTTATCTCCATGTATATTTGGTTGTTGATCGTTTGGAAGGGTTCAATGGCCCATATCATCCAAAGAATAGAATAGAATAGAATATGGAATATGGAATATGGAATATGGAATATGGAATATGAATAGAAGAGAAGAGAAGAGAAGAGAAGAGAAGAGAATGCAGAAGAGAATAGAAAAGAATGCAGAATAGAATAGAATAGAATAGAATAGAATAGAATAGAATAGAATAGAATAGAATAGAATAGAATAGAATAGAATAGAATAGAATTCTTTATTGGCCAAGTGTGATTGGACACACAAGGAATTTGTCTTGGTGCAAATGCTCTCAGTGTACATAAAAGAAAAGATACATTTGTCAAGAGTCAGGAATCATCAGGTACAACTTAATGATAGTCATAGGGTACAATAAGCAATCAAATCATACTAGGAAACAGTCAATATAAACCCTAAGGATACAAGCAACAAAGTTACAGTCATACAGTCACAAGTGGGAGGGGATGGGTGATAAGGAGTGATGAGAAGATTAATAATAAGAGTAATGCAGACTTAGTAAATAGTTTGACAGTGTTGAGGGAATTGTTTAGCAGAGTGATGGTGTTCGGGAAAAAACTGTCCTTATGTCTAGTTGTTTTGGTGTGCAATGCTCTATAGCGTCAGTTTGAGGGTGGGAGTTAAAACAGTTTATGTCCAGGATGTGAAGGGTCTGTAAATATTTTCACAGCCCTCTACCAAGTTCTATAGGACTTTGTGGTGTTAGAATTACAGCCTTAGTCCCAAATAAAATCCACTGGGCTGAGACAGATTTTCCTTCTTGCTGATCATTTTTCCACTTTTTCCAAAACCGCTGTGGTTGTTCACCTCTTTCTCCTGTGTCTCCATGAGACACGGTTCTTCTTTGGCTAGAGAAAGTTTAAGTGTTCTTTGTATTAAGCAACAAATTTGTCTATCTGGATTAAGCTGACTGTAGGTGGGTCCCTGAATGGAGCCTAGGTTACAGCCATCTGTGCAACCAACTCCTTTCCCTTCCTTGTTTGCCAGTGTCAATCTGAGGACACTGTGATCCTGAAAAGCCAGATTCCAAGGGAAGTTGTGTAAAATGGCAGTTGTGTAAGGACACACACATGGAGTTTTTCCTTTGAACGAAATGTTGAGGGTGAAGAATACATGATTGGGACGGGATTTTCTGTCTTGTCCATCAGTGTCTTCCACAATTAATTTGTCCTTGCTTTTACTCTATCAAACCTGCCTTGTCCCTCAGAGATTCATAGCCTGCAACAGAATGAATAATAAACAAATAGCACAACAAATAAATTAATACACTCAGCAGCCCTCCCCCAATTAATACAGACTACAAATAAGGATCTTCTAGTTCATTCAGACCAGCATAGAATTAAAAGGGTTGACTATAATTTGCAAGGAAAAGGAGAACTGCAAATGGTAACAACAGTTTCTATTTATGAAAGAGATACTTGAAAGATACAACATACAAAAACAATCCCAGCTAGTATTTTAAACATGGTATGTAACTCTTCTCCCTTAATATTTGGGTGTCCTTCAGGTAAAAAATTCAACTTTAGTTTACTTTTCACAGAAATGGGGATTTCTTCTATTGATACATTCCCCTCCTTTATTCTGACCCAGTTCCTTTTTTTCATTCCAAAGAAAGATTTGAATAAAACCTCCCTTCAGTTGATTAGACTTCAGATTGAAGCATTCAGCGAGATCTCTCTTTCCTGCCTGTAATCAGCTTTCGCTGAGACTGTAATTGTGGAAAGTTTTCAGAAGTGCTGGAAAAGCAAGCAAAATTTAGCTCGATAAAAGTGTTGCATTGATAAGTCTTGTTCAGATGCCTACTGAAAAATGACAGGGAAAAGAGAAAACCAAATAGATCCCCGACATCTGTCGAGGCCAACATTTCGAGCTTTTCAAGATTTCCCATGTTTCATTCAATCAATCCATAATCTTTATTTAGAATTGTAATGTTCTGAAAATATTTCCTGGGCAGAATTTATGTAAGGTGGTCTTCCAGTAGAGAAGCACCAGTAGAGAAATAAACAAGACTTCATTTGGGGTTTGGACTTGAAATGTGCTCATTGATTGACTTAATTTGGAGATGCTGAATCTTTGCACGTTTAATTTATAACCTTCTTCATCACTTTCAGTGGTGGTTATTATGGTGCATTTTATATCTGGAAATCTGTCTGGTTCTTCTTCTTTTGCAATATTTTGAAAAGGAGCTAATTCAGCTAGAATGATGAAGGGTTTGAAGTAATTCCAACAAGAAAAGTCTGGAATGCATGAGAGTCTTTAATTTTGAGAAGACCCTTTAATTTTGGGAGCAATTGAGAAGAGGAGTTGATTAATGTCTATAAAATCATAGGTTATATGGAGAAAGTGATCAAGGATCAAGTGTTTCTGAAGACTAGGATCCTAGGAAGCTGGCTAGAGAGAGTTTTAAAGTTGCAGGGGGAAAAAGGAAGTGTTTATATATGTGGCACATAAGTAACTATTACATTCATTACAAGGTACGGCAATGGAGGTTGACTTGGATAGATTTATATTGGGATTAAATATGTTCATGTAAACCAGGCCTTTCTAGAGTTATTAATGTTGAGAGTCAATGTTGGCTCTTGGTTAGAGTCACCATGTCCCCAGATGGCAGCTGCTGGCAAACAATGGTGGGAATGGGTATATTTCCTTCTCTTGATTTTGAGCATTCCAGAAACTTTTAGTTGGACATTGTGAGAAACAAAATAGTGGACTAAGGAGAGTCTTGCGCTGTGTGTCACTTAGTGATGATCTGGACAATTGTGCTGTAGGAAGGCAGACTGTCATCATCATCATCATCATCATCATCATTAATGCATTTTCTATTACCTACATTTCTTAGTGCTTAATAAACATCATGCTGTCTGGGTATTTAATTTGCTTAATAATACGGATTCCCTTTTTAATCTCCACTCCTTTTTTCCAACCACTGGCAAAATAAGTTCCATGCTTGATAATATTCTGTGCCTTCCTTCTGTCTGATTTTTCAATGTAAGTCTATCCATTTCTGCACAGTCTAATATCTTCTTAATTATCTTTTCACTTTGCAGTGTTTCTTCA